TGAGAAGCTTCTAGATAATGGGTGTTGAGCTATGCAGATGGCATCTTGAATAATGACACAGCCCTGGCCTATCCTAGAGAGAGATGCTCTGATGGAATGCTGGGTAACTATATTTATACAGTGAGCACACTGAGCTCTGAGTCTTTTCCTGTACAGGACTCGTCCAGCCTGGAGGAGGCATGCTGCCCTCCCAGGCAATGCTGCTGTATCTGCTGTTGTAGGCCTCACGTAGGCAACCTGAGGGCCTGAATACTGAGACCTTGGTTCTGCTAAAGTTGACTGAGGAGCCATCTACTGAAGACCTGGTCTGAATTCACAGAGGAAGGCAAACAGCTGTTCTTGGGCTTTATGCGTACAGACACCTCTAAAGGATCTTAGAGACTGTGTGCTACTTAAACCCCTCTGGTGTTAGGGAGTCAGCTGTGGGTCTAGCTAAAGGGGACACTGGCTGGTCTTCCGAAGAACTTTGTCTGTTTATTCTTCTACTTTAAGGGACTCTGGGTTAGTTTGCTACTACTACTAGTACTGCTGTCTTAAAGCTGAAGTCTACTGTTTGATTCAAGTATGGACTATGTCATAGCTTAGCCGAAAGAATACCTAAAGTCCTCAACTGTACATATGTTTCTGTTTTTGGAGTATCCCACCTAATTCCTTCAACCCTATCCAAGTTCTCCAAAAATAAACACAACACAAACAACAGCCCTAGACTGGTCATTGAAGAAATGTGTGAATGAGCCTCTTTGCCTGGTTGTGGGGCAAAGCTTTTGGGGAAGACCTGGACAGAATTCCTATAGGAGCATTGCTACACAATTATTGCAGGTAAATACACAAGGCACTGGTATATCAGGGGAAGGGCGGCTCTGAATAATTGTCCTAGTTCTCCTGTACAAGTTCAGATTTTATTGAACATGGTGTGATACCCTGCATGTTTTTTTTAAATTGCAACAGTTCATCCATAAAGATGAAAAATATTTGATTAATGTCTGACACCAAGAAAGTGCCACTAAAATTATTATTGTATATTTCATTGTAAGGGATGTGGTGCCCATTATCACCCACCAATCCATTTGGTATACAATATAACTTTGAAAAAGTACTGATGACCGTATGAGTCGTTTCTTTCTTCATTTTAAGTTAAAGCATTAAGTGTTTTTTATCCATTTTCAGGTTTTTGGCAGATAAGGTCTGCCTTATCCTATGTCTAAGGATAATGCTTTTGATTGCATTTAATAATTTTTAACTGGGATATTAGTTTTATAGACAAACATCTGTTCATTTAGAATGTTTTACATAAAACATAGAAGATCCTTTCCCAGTAACAAATGTAGCACTCTCCTAGATAGATGCTAGGTTAGGTACATTTAGTTCTGGCTCACTGTAATCAGTGTAACTGCATGTGATTAGTCAGTTCTGTGCTTCAATGACTGCCGGTATGACTGTTTCCCACTCTCTGGATGGAAATATTCTAGAAGATAGTGGGTTGGAAAAGTAAAATTGCCAAATGTATATTTATGCAGCCTTGGCCAATCCCTGCAGAGAATTGCCTAGGTGTTAGCTGGGAGTGTGTATAAATACTCGTAGACCTGGAACAGTATCCTAGGGGGGCTGATTGCCCCCTAGGCTAATCTTCCATATGCCTGCAGTTCACTGAGGCCTTAGCTGGGCTAGCTGGAGGGCCTATTTTGCTGAAAGTTGCTGGAGCTGACTGAGGGGCTGTCGGCTGAGGATCTAGACTGCTATCACTGGGAGAAAGTGTTTGGTCGATACTGGAAGAAGGCAACCAACTATCATTGTGACATTAGTGAGTACAGACTGGTGTGAGAGATCCTAGAGACTGTATGCTGTTGCCGCCCCACTGGTGCTATAGAGTCAGCTGTGTGTAAAGGGGAAATTGTGTCTGGTGTCTTGAAGAGCTCAGTCTATTTAATTCTTGGTGAAGAGACTCTGCTAAGATTATCCAAACAGGAAGATTAATATCCTCAAGTTGCTACTACAAAGCTCAGTCCAGCATCTACTTGTGCAAGGACTTGGCTCATAGTTCTAAAGAAGGAAGCTTAGTTTCCTCAAAATTGCTACTAGAGATTACTGGAGTATCCCACAGTTACCCTACTCCTGTCCAAGTTCAAGTTCTTTAATAAAGCATCAGAAAAGTACAGCCCTAGAGTGTTCACTGACCCAAAGGAGTGACTGTAACTGTGCCTGGCTGTGGGGCAATTCCGGTAAAATACCTAAGGGACCTATAATACTGCAGGCTGCTACGGGGAGTACCACTACACATATTTACAGGTGTGTGCATTTGCCGCTGTGCACACATGATTTGTAGATAGTGTGCATTTGGGAACTTGGCATACAGCACTCTGCATCCATTCATGTCTATGAGCAGCTGTTTGCAGCACCAGGAGCTTCTGAGCACCACGATATGCTAGTTTGTTTCCATTGTATTGGAGAATATGCCCATAAGCATGAACCCTAACAGATATGATAATAATAATCATCACTTTTTAGTGGAAGGTCCTCCGTCTTGCCAGTGATGTTGATTTTCTTCTCTCGGGCTGGCACAGCTGGCGTCCTGCTAAGGTCACTTGCATTCTCATAATCATCTTCATCATCATCGACTATGCTGCATGCTGCGGAAGAATGTACATTGGGAGAAACGTATTCATTTTAATTAGTGACCATTTAGATGCACAGCAAGCTGCCTTTCATTTAGCAAAGTCTATGAGACAGTGTATCTGTGTATCTGCAACCCCTGTGTCTGGAATCCTGCACAAAAAACTGAGACAGATTTGCAAAGGTCTGCTGTAGATTTAACACTTAATGTGAGACAGAATTTCACTTGAAACTGATGTATGATTAATAAGTGATCAGGGTCAGGTTTCATTCGGTGGTGGTGCTACTTAACCCCTGGTTCACATATATGCGGCTGTGCGGACCGTATTTTTCACGGGCACGAGAGCCCATTCATTTGAATGGACTCCCGTGCCCGTGACACGCAGAGAATAAGTCCCTGCACTTCTTTGGAAAACGCAGCCCGCACGGGAATATCGGTTCCCAGTACAGTTGTGTTTCTCCAGTGCTGGCGGTGTGCCATTAGAAGTAATGGCACACGCCTGTGGGTCCGCATTTCTCTGTGGTGGTGTGGCTGCACGGATTTTCATGCGGATCCGCAGCGGCACTACCCGGACAGATGTGAACCTAGGGTTAGCGCTGCTGAGGGAAGAATTTAAAAATCAAGCTGATTTACATAGTTTACATTAAAGTCTCATCATCTGTCTCACTGCACCTGTTTAGCATTGCCTTACTGTGAATTAATAAATTAATTGCTTCTAATAACAACAGTAGCTACAGAAGGGCCCCAATTTAACAAAAAATGTTACCTTTCTTTATTTCCTTCTCTTTTATCCTGAATAAAAGTTAAGTTATGTGCATATATTTTCTTACTACACGGTTAGCATTACATGTACATGCACATAATCAGCACCCAATATACTTTTTCAGAATTGCAGCTACTCATGTATCTGTGCTTTACAGTCTTCTACAACAGTAGTCTCCAAACTGCGGCCCAGGGGCCTAATTCAGTCTTTTGCTTGCCCTTATGTGGCCCTTGGAGAACTATTCCTCCAACTGACACCAACAATGGGGCACCATTTCTCCCCCTGACACCATCGATGGGGCATTGTTTCCTCCCACTAAAAGCAATGATGGGGCATTGTTTACTATAATTGACACTGGGGCATTTTCCACTCCCACTGGCCACATTCAGGGCCCCCTATAGACTGGCCCTTTGTTTAGAACGTTTGTAGACCCCTGCTCTATATTATACACCAAACACTCTATTCCCATAAAAACTCTACTGATTTATACACACTGCCAGCCTCTATGTATTGTTCCAGAATCAAATTTGTGCTCCATGGTTCTCTAAATGCCACACTTGGTACTCTCTTTCTATAATCACTTTGCTAACTTGTACACATGATCAGAATTTTAAATGCTTGATTGTAATGACAACACTTCTTGGATCTCTATAACCAGATACTGACCGGCCCATGTACATATACTGCGGGCCGGGGGCTCTGCTGTGCCAAATCACATACATGTACGTGATTTGGCGTTTCCAGGTAAGGGGGCACGGCTTTTCTGCCTCTCGCTTTAACACATGCTGATCAGTGGGTCCCACCCAATGATTTTTGGCTGATCAGCAGAGTGAATGACAGGAGAGAGCTCCGTGTAGGTAGACAACACAGGGCTCTCTACAGACAGCAGCAATGTGCCGGTTTTTGTCTCCTTGCAAAGCAGGGCATAAAAACCAGCATTTCGCTTAGTGAAAACAGTGCACAGTTAACACATTAGCACTTGTTAGGCACATAGTTAACCCTTTGATTGCCCCTAAATGTTAACCCCTTCCCAGCCAGTGTCATTAGTACAGTGTCAGTGGTCATTGTAAATTATTAGCACTAATCACTGTATTAGTGTCATTGGTGATGTCAGTGTCGGTCAGTTCCTGCAAAGTATTAAAAAAAAAATTAAAAAATAAAAATTCCAGTACTTGTAGCATAGTTGTAGATACTACAACTTTCACGCAAACTTAAACATAAAAAAAAAAATAACCATACACTTGTTGGGATTTTTTTTTACTAAAGACATGTAGTAGAATACATTTTGGTCTAAATTTATGACAAAATTTGATTTTTTTATTGGAAATGTTTTTTATAACAGAAAGTAAAAAAAAATATTTTCCAAAAATTAAATTTGTTCATTCATATAATTAAAAATAAAAAAACCCAGTGGTGATCAAATACCACCAAAAGAAAGCTCTATTTGAGGGGAAGAAACCGATATAAATGTTTTTTATGTACAGTGTTGCATGACTGCACAATGGTCAGTTAAAGTAACACAGGGCCAAATAGCAAAAAATGGCCTGGCCATGAAGGGAGTAAAATCTTCTGGATCTGAAGTGGTTAGTCGTTACTCCAGGGGTGAACTGACCATTCTGAAACTCAGGACTGCCCGAGGGCCGGGGTCAGTAGGGGGCCCCATGAGATGCCCCGGTACCTTTTTCATAGGCTTTTTTGGGTTTGGGCAAGGACACAGGGGCCCCATGATCCCCTATTGCCCGGGGGCCCCATGAGTTGTCAGTCTGCCCCTGCTTTACTCTACCTTTAATGGGCCACAATATATACCAGCTTATGCTTTCAGTACTCTACTGAATTGTCCACACAGTGTAAGCACTTTCCTCTATAGACCACTCCATTCTATCAGCACTTTATAGATGACTCTACTCTATCAGCACTTTATAGACCACTGTGATCTATCAGTACTGTATACACCACTTCACTCTCATCAGCACTCTATGCCTTTAAACCAGGGGTCTCCAAACTTTCTAAACAAAGTTTACTGTCCTTCAGACTTTAGGGGGACCAGACTATGCCCAGTGGGAGTGAACAATGTCCCATCTTTTGTACTGGGGGGGAGGAACAGTGTCAGTTGGAGGAATAGTGTCTGTTCATAGGTGTCAGTAGGAGGAAAAGTGCCTGATTGCTGGTGTCAGTGGAAGGAATTATGTCCTATAGTTGGTGTCATTGGGAATAATAGTGCCCTATGGTTGATGTCAGTGGCAGGAATTATGCCCCATCGTTGATGTCAATAGCAGGAAAAATGCCTCAAGGGCCAGATAAAGGCAAGCAAAGGGCCGCATCCGGCCCCCAGGCCGCAGTTTGGAGACCACTGCTCTAAACTATCAGCACTCTATAGACTACTAACACTTTCTAGACCACTAAATGCAGAACTCCTTGCACCTGCCAACAATTCTTAAATTTACTAAGGAAACGTTCAAGATACTACATCCAAAACACATGAGCAAAGTAAAACATATTCTAGTTTATCAGCTTAGAGGCATAAGAGAAGAAGGGACATTGTAAAACGTTAGATTTTTGGTACAAATGACCAATTGTTTAGGCTGAACTCCAGGAATAACAAATATTTTTTAACATTTGCAATGTAAGAATAGGTGACCACTAATGATGTGTGATCCATATGTGGCTGCTGTGCTCATAAAAAACTGTTTCATTACTTCCATAAACTACAGTAAAAGCTAAACCTCCACCCCTCCTCCAATCACAGAATGCTTTGTATTCTGAGTTACATTGGAAATGTCCAAAAATTGTTTTTTTCCCCATAGATCAACTATGGAGGAGACAGCAGCTAAAGGTTTGCTATGGAGGGGACAACAGATAAAACTAAACCTTGACATCCATTTGGCCACAAATCAAATAAAAAAAAAAAAAGACAAAAAAAGCTCCTAATAATAAGCACAAAAAAGCAGCGAAGGTGTGGATTGCCCAAAGAGCTAGCTATCAGAATTAAAGCACAGTTTCCTAAATTACCTCAATTTTCAGCTTTCCCTGTCTTTTCCCTACAGCAGGTTCCAATAGACTGACACTATGGCTGCCCTGTGTCCCAGAGAGAGCCTATCCAAACGCCTCCTAATCATCTGTTTTAAACCTGCTGCCTATAGTTCAAAGGCCATTCGGTGCATTATGGTTTAAAAAAAAAATTTCCTGTGCAAATTTGCACAGAAATTAACCTGGACCACAAATCTTGAACCCTCTGAAAGTGTTGAATGCATGGTAGATGTAAACCCGACCCTCATACCTATTTACTATGACTATGTACAATGTAACTTTGAAAAAATACTTGTTTGCATGTATTATTTTATCATGTGGTGGTGAGTGTGGATTAATGAACACTAGACAGAGAAGGTGATTTCCTAGGGATATTACCTTTGGCCACATTCAGTATTTTTTTGGTGGAATTTGTTTTATAGAAAAGCATTATTCAAGGGTCTATTTGAATTCACCTTTTGAGAAGCTTCCAACAGGAGCTTTTGCAGTTTTTATTACATCCCTAAATTCTAATTAATAAAAAAACTCAACATTTAGAGATTTAATTGCTTTGCTTTTATGCCTTTTAAAATCTAAAACTTTCCTATTCCCCCATATGGGTTTCATAGAAATGTTGTTTCCATAGGGAATGTACTTGCTACCATATTTAAGGTACTGGTTAAAATAGTGTCATTTGGTTTCAGTGTCTGAAACAGAACATCTTCCAGTCTAAATAACTTATGTAAGCGTATTTATTAAACAGTGAATGTGACATTCACCATTCATTTAATACATTTAATTAATTTACTGTTGTTTAAAACAAATGCGCCAGGAAGATTCATCTGTAGTGAATATTTGGTGAATTTCACATTTACTGCACTACTAAAAATACCCTCTTTTTTTCTGAAGACATATATTAAATAATTATGGCTGGAGAAAAGGGATATGTGGTCACCTTTTCCCAAAGGCAAAATCTTTTTTGCTTAATCCACATTGATATAGTTTTTGGACAAAGACCTCGTTCACAAACACCTATGTGCTTGCTGCATGGGATGCACAGGTGTCCCATGCATCTGTGTGCAGACAGTCTCATTCATGTCTATTGGGATGCAGTGGCTGCACAGACACAGCTGCTGTTCCCAACTTGACATCTGTGTTGGTGCAGGTGCTTGTGGGTGCATATCCCTGAACTTATGCTATCTGCATTTGGGGCATGCACTGGCACCAACATGGATGTCAAATTGGAAGCAGTGGTAGTGTGGGCAAACACAGCCCTCACACAGATGTACACTTCAGAACACCCGTGTGAACAAGGTTATACACTTTCTTTATGACAAAGGTAGAGACAAAAAAGATAAGAGAAGTTTCTTAGAATTTTTCTTTAAAAGCAGAAATGTAGCAAGATAAAAGAGTCAACCCACTGTCAACATAAACTCTGCCCTATGTGGCCACCAAATGTTGCCAACAAATCCAACAGATGCCATCAACCCGTGACTGCCACATCTGTGTTCATACCAGTACAAACTGTCATAGACTCATGACAGTGATTGCTACCAGCCAGTAAAAGTAAGACTAACATATATACTTCTTCTCAAAATACTGAAGTTGGAAAAGAACATTGCAATAGTCTGTAAATACTGGTATCTCAGGAAGGAGCACATGAATTTGTACAAACATTAATTATAAAAATTATATAAAAGAACTAATAACAACAATAATTACCTTTTAGCTGTAGGTCTTCCTTCTTGCCTTTGTTGCCAATTTTCTTCTCTAGTTTTTTGGCACAGGTACCTTCCTGCTAATGTCACTCAAGTTCTCATAATCATCCTCATCGTCATCCAAAATGCTGCATGCTGAGGATGAACAGATATTGACTAATTATTGCTCCTAGCAATATCAGCTGGAGAAGATTCCCAACCCAACAATCAACGTTACCTTTCTTCATCTGTCTTCCTGAGTAAATGTTCTGCATTTTGTAAAGGGTGTTCTTACCAAACTATCAGCATTAATTGTATACACCATCCGCAACCTATATACATTTTCAGAAGCGCAGCTATCTATTATCAGAGCTACTCTACTGACTTTTACAAAGTACTAACACCCCTTATACTTTTCCAGAAATGTGAGTACCTATTACTGCTCTACAGTCCCCTACATGCTACACTTAGAACTCTGTGCCTATAAGGAATTTATTGTCCTGTGCACATGGCCAAAGGTTTACGTTCTTTTCCATAAGGACAACATTTTATTGATCCCTTTATTCTTTGGTACCCTACATGTGACCACAAAATATTCAAGTTCACACTGCCAGCACTGTACCAAGTTGTCCACAGCCTAAGCACTCTATAGAAATGTCTATAATGTAAGCATTCTGTATACCTTTCCACATTAGCAGCTTTACAGTCCTGTCCACACTATAAGCATTCCAAATGATCAATACTCTATAGACAACTCAATTCTATTAGCATTCTGTACCACAATTCTACTCTATCCACATTCTATAGACTACTCAACTCTTATCAGCATTCCGTTGACTGCTCTACTCTATCAGCATTCTATAGACTTTTCAACTCTAACAACACTATTCAGCTCTACAGATACTCTATAAATTATCAGCTCTCAGCATTCCAAAGGCTACTCAACTCCATCAGCACTCCTATAGACCACTGCACTCAATCAGCACTATAAAGACAACCCTACTCTATAGACCACTCTATTTTATCAGCACTTTATTGTTCTAAGAGTATCAGGGATTCTGCATACTCAACATTCCAGTCCACACTATCAGCACACTATAGACTATTTAACTCTACAGAACTCCAAAGGCTACTCAATTCTACCAATGCTCTATGAATTAATCAACTCATCAATCTATAGACTACTCATCTCTCTTTCAGTTCTCTAAAGGCTACTCAACTCTATCAGCACTTTATAGACCACTCCACTCAATCAGCTCTCTATAGATCACCCTACTCCATAGACCACTCTATTTTATCTGCACTCTATAGCCCCATGGATTCTAATTTTCCAGTCCACACTATCAGCCTTCTATATGTACATCCACGGAGTTCCTAGCAGCAATCTAACGCTCTAAAGATTTGTGTGCATGTTCTTTGTAGACCATTCTATAAGTATTCTGTGGACCAACCCACTCTGTTTACTCTTCTTCGAAATCAGCTTGATTTCACTCTTACATATTTACTGTCACCCCACAAACATTTTTATCTTCCCACCAGAGTGTAACGAAGCAGATCTGAACACACCCAGCCAGAAGGTCCCCAGGGATGGTTATTTAGAGAATCGGTCCCATGAAGTCATAAACTATTTCAGTTTGTCTTCCTCTTCTTTCTTTCTCTTCTTGTTTCTGAAATATTTTCATCTTCTGAACCACCATTTATCAGCAAAGAGATCAAGAGAATTAACAGTCATGAATGGTTAACTGTTAACAGTAAGAAAAAATATACAGTATCTCCCAGAAGTGAGTACACCCCTCACATTTTTGAAAATATTTTATTATATCTTTTCATGTGACAATACTGAAGAAATGACACTTTGCTACAATGTAAAGTAGTGAGTGTACAGCTTGTATAACAGTGTAAATTTGCTGTCCCCTCAAAAGTGAGTACACCCCTAAGTGAAAATGTCCAAATTGGGCCCAATTAGCCATTTTCCCTCCCCGATGTCATGTGACTTGTTAGTGTTACAAGGTCTCAGGTATGAATAGGGAACAGGTGTGTTACATTTGGTGTTATCACTCTCACTTTTTCATACTGGTCACTGGAAGTTCAACATAGCACCTCATGGCAAAGAACTCTCTGAGGATCTGAAAAAAAGAATTGTTGCTCTACATAAAGATGGCCTAGGCTATAAGAAGATAGCCAAGACCCTGAAACTGAGCTGCAGCACAGTGGCCAAGACCATACAGCGGTTTAACAGGACAGGTTCCACTCAGAACAGGCCTCGCCATGGTCGACCAAAGAAGTTGAGTGCATGTGCTCAGCATCATGTCCAGAGGTTGTCTTTGGGAAATAGACATATGGATGCTGCCAGCATTGCTGCAAGAATTGAAGGGGTGGGGGGTCAGCCAGTCAGTGCTCAGACCATACGCCGCACACTGCATCAAATTGGTCTGCATGCTGTTGTCCCAGAAGGAAGCATCTTCTAAAGATGATGCACAAGAAAGCCCACAAACAGTTTGCTGAAGACAAGCAGACTAAGGACATGGATTACTGGAACCATGTCCTGTGGTCTGATGAGACCAAGATAAAATTATTCGGTTCAGATGGTGTCAAGTGTGTGTGGCGGCAACCAGGTGAGGAGTACAAAGTCAAGTTTGTCTTGCTTACAGTCAAGCATGGTGGTGGGACTGTAGGTTAGAGTAGATTAACATTTATTCCAGCATGAGGGATGCTGTCAAGCTCAGCTTGGCAAGGGTGATGGTTACTTAGGTAGCGAAGGGGTTTTGTGCTTGACCCCTTAACTAGCAACAAGTGCCCCACATACTGGGGCCTACCTTGCAGCACAATGTTTTTAAGGACCTAGCCAGGAATTCACGGGAGAGAGCAAGCATGTAGTTATAGTAAAGAGTGTTCCGTATATCCAGTAACAGCAGTCTGACATGTCAATGAGAGTGAGGTGGCAGGAACTGTTGCGTGTCAGGAACCAAAAACCAGGCGGAGACAGAAAGTACAGTTAAAATCACACCTTTAATGTAACAGCAAAAATAACACAGTTCTGGAACATAGTCAAAAACAGAAGCCAGGGTTTTGATGCCAGAGCGGGTAAACAGACGAGCCAGGGTCAGGAAACCAGAAGTCAGCGTAGTCAGAAGCAAAAATCAGGAACAGGAATTGGAAGAGAAGTCAGCCAGACTGGGTTGTACACAGGAACACAAGCAGGAACACAAGCAGGAACACACTGGAGATCATAGACCACGCAAGGACAAAAAGGTAATGAACTAAGCTGCTAAAATAGCAAAACGGGCAGGCTGTAGGCTGGACTAATTAGGCAGGTAATGGTATCCAGGTGAGTCACTGTGGAGATGAGTGGATAGTAATTAACCAACTGCTAAGCAGCTTCTGAGCACTGAAAAAAAAGAGCTGCTCATTAAGTAGCTGGAGCCCAGCCCTGACATTGTGTTAGTGGAGACTGGTACAGGCTCTGCAGTACCCGTTTTTAAATGCTGCACACCTGGGAAGTGGTGTTCTCTAACCAGTAGTTGAGTCCAGTATACCTAGCTTGGCAATGGGTTACATAGAATTAACTGTGCAAGTGCTGCCTTAATGTTGATTTCTTATGACTGCACCTCCCTGGCTAGGCTTCGGCAATTAGTGAGTGTAGTTCCACTGTGTCCTCACTAGGGTGTCCTAAGCTCCAGCCACACACAAGCAGATACAGATCTTGTATACAATCTGGTGCACGTTTAGGCAGGTGCAGGCTATTTTCTCCACTGTAGGTGGCTCTCATCTAGAGTGGTACTGCAGCTGGAGGGGAAGTCAAGAGAAATTTGGGTGAGCTCCCCCGCCAGGTTGTTGAACTGTTTCTTCTATACATAGGTTACTGCACTTGGACCTCCTGTGTGTTTACTGCCACTGCAACACCCTGCACCTATACCCAACACCGATTGATGAGCAGCCAAATGATTACAACACTTCTCAGATTTATCAAGCTATCCTGAGGGCTGGAATTCTTTTGTTATCACTTTTCCTACTGACCACACACTTGTTTCTACAGACTGACACTAATCTGCATACATTCTAATTCCAATTGCTGCAATTATGTAGAACAGGAGGACACAGCCACACAATGGAATCCATTGCTGGTTAACAACAAACTTGCAAAGAGCATACAGACATTGGTAATACAAAGCACCAATCTCTCTAGGAGTAGGAATTCCTATCATAGTAGATAGAAGGCTCTTAGTTGTATAATCTAATATACCTTAGTGGGCAGTGCACAGAAATATGTAAGAAGGTATAAATACAAAGTACAAGAAAGAAAAAAAACAGACAGAAATTTGGCTTTTTGCTTTGAAATACAAGTGGAGAAATTAGAGAAATAAACTTTACTTCTGTGGGCAGAATGATTTATCATGATGGCGGGAGCAGGGGCGGACTGACAACTCATGGGGCCCCTGGGCAATAGGGGATCATGGGGCCTATTTGGAAAATCGGGCAGTGCCCGAGGGCCCAGGGGTCAGTAGGGGGCCCCATGAGATGCCCCTGGTACCTTTTTCATAGGCTTTTTTGAGTTTGGGCAAGGACACAGGGGCCCCATGATCCCCTATTGCCCGGGGGCCCCATGAGTTGTCAGTCCGCCCCTACCTGGTACCTTTTTCATAGGCTTTTTTGAGTTTGGGCAAGGACACAGGGGCCCCATAATCCCCTATTGCCCGGGGGCCCTATGAGTTGTCAGTCCGCCCCTGCTCCTGAAGTGGCCACAGGTTACATGGACCAGCCAGTTCTGAGGGCTGGATTGGGGTTAAGATTTCCAACATCAGCACACTGTCCTGGTCATGACAAGTCCACAAACACATGGCTGCTGTAGACAGGATCCATATAATATAGTTGCCAACTGTCACTGTTTGCCCGGGACAGTCATGAATTTTTGAATGATGTCCTGCCATGCCTCAGTCCTGTCGATGTTTCTTATTAGTAAACTAATCTCCTGTCCACTTTTGTATTAATCCATCGGATTGCTCTGGCGGATTGATGTAGAAGAGGCTGGGACAGTAGTTTAATGCATAGCAGCCGCTGCACTGCAGATTAGTCCGTGGCAAAATGGAGAAATAGTCCCCAGTCTGCCGCAAGAAATGTTTTTATTCTTTTAGCTACTGTAGGCTCTTGCAGAATTAGGAACCGCTATCTGCTGCTGCCCTGATCTGAGGTTTTCAGGACACTGGCAACACATGTGAGGCTGCAATGGACCCAACTGGAGGTATGTTAGTGCCAGGGGCGGACTGACCATTTGGAAACTCGGGTACATTTAAAACCAAAATGTTTTATTAAAACGTCAGAAATGCATTCACAAACAGGGTGTCTAGCAGACACCAGCAATGACAGCCTCAAGAAAGCAGGGACGAGCTTCGCTCACTCGCTCACCGCAATATCACAGCCGGTTTGCGCCCCGTGAGGACGTCGGATGACGAAACTAGTAGGGCGGGGCTTCTTTTGGATGTGATGTCAGGACGCTCCTCGTAGACTGTCGGCTGTGATGAGCGAGGCTCATCCCTGCTTTCTTGAGGCTGTCATTGCTGGTGTCGGCTAGACAACCCGTTTGTGAATGCATTTCTGACGTTAATAAAACATTTTGGTTTTAAACGTACTGCACCATGATCTCCTTTTTTGATTCCCCGCATATGATCTATGGTATGGAGATGTGATGACTACCTGCTGTTAAAGGCTATTCCATATTGTGCTGATTGGCTGCTTGCAGTATATTGCTCCCAGTTTGGATTACTTCTGCTGATCATCGCTCCCAGAGCAAACGCTATCTTTGCTGATTTATAATCTGGTCAGCATGGAGCTCTGGTGAGTGTACCCATTTCATTCGGTGGTGGATTTTTTTTTTTGCACGGTGTTTGATTTATACAAGATTTCAGAACTGTTTAATTACTTTGTGATGGTGGATGGACTTTTATATAATATTTTTTTATCACGGACATCATTATTTTAACCGTTTCAATACCGTGCAATTTTACACCTTCCTGCCCAGGCCATTTTTCAGGTTTCAGCGCTCTCACACTTTGAATGACAATTGCGCGGTCATACAACATTGTACCCAAACTAAAATTTTATCATTTTCTTCACACAACTAGAGCTTTCTGTTGGTGGTATTTAATCACCGCTGGGGTTTTTATTTTTTGCTAAATTAACAAAAAAAAGACCAAAAATTTTGAAAAAAAAACACATTTTTCTTTGTTTCTGTTATAAAAGTTTACAAATAAATAATTGTTCTTCATAAATTTAGGCCGAGATGTATTCTGCTACATGTCTTTGGTGAAAATAACCCAAATTAGGATGTATTTTTTAGTTTGTAGGAAAGTTATAGAGTTCACAAACTATGGTATAGATCTGAATATTGATCAATCCTGAAGTACTGACAGCCAATCTAATTTCTTGAGGTCCAAGAATGTCAGAACAGTACAGATATCCCCCAAATGTCCCCTTTTTGCAGAGTAGACAGTCTAACGTACTTCATAAGAGGCATGGCGAGTTTTTTGAAGTTGTATTTTTTTGTCATAATTTTTTGGAAAATTAAAAAAATTAAAAAAATTATTTTCACTATTTTTTTTTTTTACATACTGTCACCAGTGCAGTACAGCATCATCATATAACTGGCATGGCGGTGAACAGGGACACTGACTGGTGACAGTATGAAAAAAAAAATATATATTTTTTTTTTCTTTAAATTTTTTTATTATATTTAATTTTTTATTACATTTTTTTTAATTTTTTTAAAGATTTTTTTTCATATTTTACTATGACCAAAGTAGTACAATGTTACCATAGTAACATTGTACTACTTTGGGGAAGTGATCAGTATTTTTTTTTTTTACACAATTTGCTTATAGCAAAGAATTACTTTGCTATAAGCAAGCATTTACCTGAATGAAAATCGATTCATTCAGCTTTTCTTTTTTTTTTTTGTGCTTAGCTGTGATTTGGTCACAGCTAATCACATGACATGTGCATGTGATTAGCTGTGACCATTCACAGCTAGGCACTAGTATACAATGGATGGCATCATGAATGAAGCCATCCATTGTATACAACTGTCATGTGACCTGCTGTGATTGGTCACAGCAGGTCACATGGTACCAGCAACGGGAGACGGTACTCGGATCTGTCATCAGCCGTGTCCGAGGTGCACGGCCGGTGACAGATCGCACTGCTGCGCCGCTCTGCATTAGCGCAAACTGCGCATGTGCGGGAGCACGCCAAATGACGTGCACCCGGAGTGCAGGGGCAGTTTTGAAGCCGCCAAACGGCCATTGGCCGGGAGGCTAATGGTTAAACTAATCATTTTTGTATTCACTTATATTTAGCGCACTCTTTGATTTATTCACATACACATATTACTTGGTGCCCCTGCCATAAGTTAGTGGATCTGTTGATTTTTCATTTAAATAAATAGAATCACGCTATGTTTTGTTCTGTTTATTGTGAGCAACTATTATTTGATAATGGAGAAAAAGTCTGAAGGAATAAAAATTGTCAAATGGCGTCTGGATTCTAAATATATTGTGCTTTTGTATTGTGCTCTTGTGACCTTCCATAATGAAAAGGTAAGTCAGCTCTGGTGAGTTGTTCCCACGATCAGGTAGTGGTAGTTTTCTGTACTGGGTGAATGCACAGCGATAAACAGAACAACGAACATAAGAAACAGTCACAATTTTTTGTGGTTTATGCATTAAAGGCTCATGCAAAATCACTCCTTTTCCCACATCACACAAAAACAAACTGCCCTTGTTGCGCATGTGTTCCATTAATGCTTTAAGGGACCCATTAGTATCTAGCAAACACGAGTGCATCTGTTTCCCTCTGAAGTGCATGGTACTGCAGTATGAAGCGTTTTGGTGCAACTTGATTTTAAAAATCCGGCTTGCACCTATTTCATGCATTTCTTGTGCATAGAGCAGCCCATTTAAATTATTGGGCTGCCCTAAAACGAGATGTGCAGGAATGCGCAAAAACCACACATGCTCGGACACACCTCCTGGTGTGAATGAGCCCTTAGAATCACACTGAGCACTTGTAAAGCCAGGGTTTTATTGGACAATTTTTGTGCTGCATGTATTTTTGTAGTGTGTGAATTTATGTTACAGGTTTGTACTGTACAAACTTCTGGCTGCACTGCACAACTCCTGGCTGTATTATACAACTTCTGGCTGCACTGCACAACTCCTGGCTGTATTATACAACTTCTGGCTGCACTGCACAACTCCTGGCTGTATTATACAACTTCTGGCTGCACTGCACAACTCCTGGCTGTATTATACAACTTCTGGCTGCACTGCACAACTCCTGGCTGTATTATACAACTTCTGGCTGCACTGCACATCTCATGGCTGTATTATACAACTTCTGGCTGCACTGCACATCTCCTGGCTGTATTATACAACTTCTGGCTGCACTGCACAACTCCTGGCTGTATTATACAACTTCTGGCTGCACTGCACATCTCATGGCTGTATTATACAACTTCTGGCTACACTGCACAACTCCTGGCTGTATTATACAACTTCTGGCTGCACTGCACAACTCCTGGCTGTATTATACAACTTCTGGCTGCACTGCACATCTCCTGGCTGTATTATACAACTTCTGGCTGCACTGCACAACTCCTGGCTGTATTATACAACTTCTGGCTGCACTGCACAACTCCTGGCTGTATTCTACAACTTCTGGCTGCACTGCACAACTCCTGGCTGTATTATACAACTTCTGGCTGCACTGCACATCTCCTGGCTGTATTATACAACTTCTGGCTGCACTGCACAACTCCTGGCTGTATTATACAACTTCTGGCTGCACTGCACATCTCCTGGCTGTATTATACAACTTCTGGCTACACTGCACATCTCCTGGCTGTATTATACAACTTCTGGCTGCACTGCACATCTCCTGGCTGTATTATACAACTTCTGGCTACAGTGCACATCTCCTGGCTGTATTATACAACTTCTGGCTGCACTGCACAACTCCTGGCTGTATTATACAACTTCTGGCTGCACTGCACAACTCCTGGCTGTATTATACAACTTCTGGCTGCACTTGCACAAAGAAATGTCCAACTAGATCTCTAGGCTAACTGCGACCTGTACTCCTTTAGCACTGGGGTCTTATACTCACTTAGCCACAGTATCATCCATTGCCGCCTGGCTTTTCCTAATGAGAGAGAAATAGGCTCACACAGCCTCTGGACAGCTTGGCTTTCAACTCAACTGGATCTTTGGACAAAGCCTTGTAAATAGGTTCCCTAGCTAAGCCTAGCTGGGATCTCGGTGTCTGCAGGCTGGCAATCCCCAGACTTCTACCCTGGGGGGCAGAGCCCCTCAACACAAGTCTCCTCCTGCAGAACTTGACCCAGGAATGCTTCCCCTGTTGCTAAGGCCTCGAGCTATTTAAGTGCTCTCCCCCACCTTCTGCGCACACCTCACCAGGGATTGGCTGGAGTTCCATAAATATTCAGCCTGCAGGCTCTGTCCTACCTCCCACTATGTTCTAGAATTCTCTAGAAGACAGGGGGAAGTAACAGAGCAGCAGCCTGTAAAAGACTCAGCAGCCCTAAGTAATCAATCCCCTCTAATTACTGGAGAGCCAATACAAATTTTGTTGGCAGCCTACTCTAACTAGGAGGGTGTTAAATAAATGAAGGAAAATGCAGCTTTATCACACGAAAAAGTAAGTACTCCCTACATTTACTGTCACTTCAGTTCCATAAAATTAGAATCAGGTGTTCCACATTAGGTGCCAAAGATTAGAACCTTTATAGGGTGTACTGTTTGCACAGTGGTGTATTTGTGGTGACCTAGGCAAGATTAATATCAGGTGCCCCCCAACTAAATGTGTCCCACCCCTTCCTGTTTAAGATCCGCCCCTTCATCTGTAAACTTCGACACTTCGTCTTTAGGCTCCACCTCTTCCTATTAGAGTTCCACAGAAGGAGTTGGTCGGAGACTGCAAACATAGTACAGAAGATGGTCAGAGACTGCAGACATAATACAAGAGATGGTCAGAAACTGCAGACAGGATACAGGAGATGGTCAGAGACTGTGAACATACTACAGGAGATGGCCAGAGACTGTGGACATAGTACAGGAGATGATCAGAGACTGCGGACATACTACAGGAGATGGACAGAGACTGCGGACATACTACAGGAGATGAACAGAGACTGCGGACATACTACAGGAGACGGTCAGAGACTGAGGGCATACTACAGGATATGGTCAGAGACTGCAGACAGGATACGGTCAGAGACTGCAGACAGGATACCAGAGACAACAGACACGATACAGGAGATGGTCAGAAACTGCAGACAGCATACAGGAGACAGTCAGAGACTGCAGCCAGGATAAGGTCAGAGACTGCGGACAGGAGACGATCAGAGACTGCAGACAGGATACTGTCTGAGACTGCGGACAGGATACAGGAGACTGTGGACTGGATAAAGTCATAGACTACAGACAGGATACGGTCAGAGACTGCGTACAGGATACAGGAGTTGGTCAGAGACTGCAGACAGGATACGGTCAGATACTGTGGACAGGACACAGGAGATGGTCAGAGATTGTGGACAGGATAAGGTTAGAGACTGCAGACAGGATACAGAAGACAGTCAGATACTATGGACAGGATACAGTCAGAGACTGCAGACAGGCTACAGGAGATAGTCAGAGACTGTGGACAGGAGACTGTGGACAGGATACAGGATATGGTCATAAACTGCGAAAAGGATACGGTGAGAGACTGCGGACAGGATACAGGAGATGGTCAGAGACTGCAGACAAGCTATGGTCAGAGACTGCAGACAGGATACGGTCAGAGACTGCGGACAGGATATGTTCAGAGACTGCGGACAGGATACAGGAGACGGTCAGAGACTGTGGACAGGATACGGTCAGAGACTGCGGACAGGATATGTTCAGAGACTGCGGACAGGATACAGGAGACGGTCAGAGACTGTGGACAGGATATGATCAGAGACTGAGGACAGGACAGGAGATGGTCAGAGACTATGGACAGGAGACCGTCAGAGACTGCAGACAGGATAGGAGATGGTCAGAGACTGCGGACAGGAGACGGTCAGAGACTGCAGACAGGATAGAGGAGACTGCAGACAGGATACAGAGATGGTCAGAGACTGAGAACAGGATTTGGTCAGAGACTGCAGACAAGATACAGGAGATGGTCAGAGACTGCGAACACTATACATTCAGAAACTGCAGACAGGATACAGCAGACTGTGGACAGGATACAGGAGACGGTCAGAGTCTGTGGACAGGATACAGATGACGGTCAGAGACTGCAGACAGGATACAGGAGATGGCCAGCCAAGCCTGCCCCCTCCTGAGCACTGCCAAATGCAACCCCCCACCCGAACACTGCCGAGCCCTAAAAGTAGATTACTAACTTTTTTCTTTTAAAAGGAAAAAAAAAAAAAACTTTTTTAAGCAAAAAGTGTTTAAAAAACATTTTACTCTTCAGAACCAAAACAACTTGATGTCCCCTTCAGCACCTTAGAAGAGTCAAGATACAATGTTGCAAGTCTCCTCTCCCAATTGGTGTAATGTAACATTTGATTTACAGCCCTCTATATCGATTAACCCCAGTCTGCTCTGAAAAGGATGCCTAGTTTTTACTTGCAGGTAAAGCCAATTTCAATTCTAAAGCAACAATTACTCCAGTACTCAGGACTTTGAAGACAGTACCAGTCAGCAGTCAGTCCCCCCTGCCCAAGCACTGCCGAGCCTGATCCCCCTCTTCCACCCAAGCACTGTGAAACCCTCTGTCCTCACCCAAGCACTGCTGAGCCCACCTCTCCCGCTCGAACACAATCAGGCCCCCCCCCCCATCTGAGCACTGCCGAGACCACTCTCCTGCCCGACCACTGCCGAGATGCCACTGGTCCCTTCTGCCTCAAAAATGCTACCGAAGGCAAATGCCTTGTTTTCCTCACGGCAGATACGGCCCTGTGTATGCAGGTGGAACCTATCCCTTTCACTGCCAGAGCCCGTTTTTGAGTTTTTTGCATATAGTTAAAAAAATGAAGTAAAGCCTAAAGATTAGTTAAACCCCAAGACATTAGATATTTTGTGAAAGCAGGTGGTTCCAATTTTTTATGCCATGCAGTATTTGTGCAAAATTTTAAGTGAAAAAATGCATACATATAAGTTAATTCAGGGCACACAAACACAATACAGGTGTACCTCGGTTTACAAACTCCTCGGTTTATGTAATTTTCAGTTTACGAATGAAAATCCATTGAAAAAAATGCCTCGGTTTACAAATTTTTTACGAATTTTTTTCGGAATACAAAGTGTATGTCGGTGCCGATTTTTAAATGCAATTGCCGGCTTTTTTTTTCTTCACTATAGCTCACAGAATCAGCTGTCACTTTCCCAGGAGCTAAAGGATACTTTGTTTCTTTTATCTCGGGAAACAAACTAAAAGGAAACATTGTTTCTTTTAACTGGGGGGAAAGTGACAGCTGATTCTGTGAGCTATAGTGAAGAAAAAAAAAAAGCTGGTAATTACATTTAAAAACCCAAAAGGACACCATATTACTAATTCATTCACTTTTCATGGCCTACTTCTACACAGGTCATGACTCCATCTTACCAGTCACTCATAGTCTGCCACCTCTCTACCAATCGCCCAATGAATAAAATTCAAAATGCTACTGACAATATAAAAAGCCATTCACAATTCCACCTTAAGCTACATTACCAACCTAGTCTCAAAATATCATCCGCCCACTCTGCTCCTGCCAAGACCTCCTGCTCTCTAGCTCCCTTGTCACCTCCTCCCATGCTCACCTCCAGGACTTCTCCAGAGTCTCTCCCATTCTTTGGAACTCCTCACCCCAACCTTTCCGGCGATCTTCTACTCTGTTTGACTTTAGGAGATCCCTAAAACCTCATCTCTTCAGGGAAGATTATCCCACGTCTACCTAACAGCTGAAATTTTCTTTCTTCATCACCTCTTCAATCAGCTTTTATTTTTTTTTTTGTATCACTTGACCTTCCCTTTTAGATTGTAAGCTCTCACAAGCATGGCTCTCCTGGCCCTCTTATATTTAATTGTATTTTAACTGTTCCGTCTCCGTTTAGTTTGAAAAACGCTGCACAAACTGCTATAATATTTCAATCCCATATAATAATAATAAAAATAATAATGAAATTATTTCTGTTTCAAGAACTAATTTAAAACCACAAAACAGAAATGGATATAATGACAACAAACCTCTTTATTTTAACAGCGCACATGATAAAGAACAGTTTATTCTCTATATAGGCCATCATAACATAATACTTCCTCTTTCCCTGTCTGCAGCCATTTATTCTGGGTTCTGTTATGCTCTTTGCTTGTTACCCCTTTAAACGTCACACGGAGCAAAGAAAAATCCCCTTTGTGGAAAGTGTGAGGTCACAGCAGTGAATATATCTTCACTTGGCCAACCGAAATCCCTGAGCAGGAAGCAAAGCCCTACACTGTGGGAGACTTTAGTCAAATATTTTGTTATTTTGAGAACTGTGACTTTTATAATAAAAGATAACAAACAGTTTAAAATGACTCTGTTGCTTAAAAAAAAAATGAAACAACACAGTGTTGTTCCAAGAACACAGCTAATGCCCCATGCCAATGGGTGCTTTTTGGCATGCAACGTAAATTGCAGGTGCATTTCTGTGCCCAGTATACACAACTGCTGCATACAACCGTCTATAGTAAAAAAATGATTATATGCGGTGGGACAGTATGAGGTTCTGTCACTGTGTAAGTGGTCAGCAAAAGGACACAGGGTTTGCACTTTTGCTGAGTGCAGGACTAAGGAGCATATGTTCCGAATGGAGAAAACTGCTTTTGTAGATTTCTCCAGGTTTTGGTAGTCCTGGATGGGGCTCCATAGTTTGGAGACTCCATCAGGGGCGGACTGACAACTCATGGGGACCACGGGCAATAGGAGTTCATGGGGCCCCTGTGTCCTCGCCCACACCCCAAAAAGCCTATGAAAGAGCCAATGAAAGGTACCAGGGGCATCTCATGGGGCCCCCTACTGACCCCGGGCCCTCGGGCACTGCCCGAGTGCTCAAATGGTCAGTCCGCCCCTGGACTCCATAGTGCCTTGGGCGGGTTTTCCAACCGATCTCCAACCCAGTGTCTGGGTTTTGTGGAGGAACACCAGGATGTGTGCCCGGTGCCCACTGCCCTTATAATAGAGGTTTAGGAATAACTTTTTTTTAATAAAAGTGGGCTACCAAGCCCTGAAATATAGTTCCTGACTGACGTGAACTCATTTGCAATCGCATCTACCACTGAGCTAAACAACCCTCATGTTACAGCGGGTTTACTGTGCAAATCAAAATGACCAAAGAACGTGGAAGAAGATCAGCTGAACATGTCAGCACTCACCCCTGAAAGGGCCCACTGATTTGCCACAGGTTCTTTTTCAAGTTTAGTGCAGGAGCAGCAAGCCACACAGCACAGTCACTCACTCTGGCTCAATGATCAGTCTATGGGATTGTCTTTTTGAGCTGTATTGCTGAATAAGCTGGGTTCTCAATGAGCTATTTTAAGAACTTCTGCTGGGCTGCCCAAAAGGGAAGCAGTCCTTCAGGCTGGGAACTTTTCTTCCTGGACACGACCAGGGCAGCTCCAGACCCCATACTATTTATGTACTCTCCAGCCACCTACTGGGCATCCCCCTCCCCCAGGGATTGGCTCAGACAACATAAATATTCAAGTCTTGCCTTTCCAGCCCACTACATTCTGGAATCCTCCAGAGGAAAATATTCAAACCCACAACTAGTGAACTCCAGAACAGATCAAAGCAAGCACAAACTGTTCCACTGATTACAGGGGAGCAAAAAAAAAAAACTACATTTACCTAATCAACCTAGCAACATATCTAGGAGGGTGCTACATCTGCAAGAGAATGCCTGGACACTGCATGACTGGAGTGGAGGTGAGTATAGTCCAGCTTTAACATTTTCCAAGAACAGTTACAATCAAGGCAAGCCACTGGTGATAACTGTCACAGTGTGCTTGTGTCAGCTCTTAACTAAACTTTCAAGCCCTCTAAGGGCTGGTGTCATAGCTGATCACATGTTGTAACTGCAGATGTTGGCTAAGATGGTACCTTCCCTGGCTGCACCATAGGAGGGTTTAAAGAGGAACTAAACCCATTAATTTGATGGTTTCCCATAAACTTTTAAGCCAGCCATACATGGGTCAACTTCCGAAATAATTTTCTTTCGATAATCTTTTCTAAGAATTTTCGTTTGAATTTCACACCATTGTTGGGCCACATCAACGGCCAATTTTCAAGCGCCCATCGAATTTGAGTGATTGGGCATGTTGGAAAGTTTTTGAAAAACAAAGGAATTTCTAATCAATGATGGGATAATCGTGCAAGCAATATAATTGAAAAAGGAATGAGCATGAGCTGTGAACTGGAAGGAAAAGAAGATTCTTGGCCACGAAAATTATTTTCTGTAGCAACATGAGGTGAAATTAAAGGCTTGGTTGGTCGAATTTTGAAATCAATGGTGGCACCTTCAGATTACAAAATGCACAACATTTTCAATTTTCTAAAGAAAATTTGTTCAGAATTCGACCCATGTATAACCTGCATTACATTCAAGGCTTGCTGTGAACCATAACTGTCACAGGTGCTTGAGCTTTCAACTGAACTGTCAAGCCATCAAACACCTTGTGTCACAACTGATCACATGTGTAGAAGCCTGACAGTGGCAGCAATATACAAGAGCACAACAGAAAATATAGCTGCTCCTGGGTCATGGGACTTGTAGTTCTGGAGGAACTGTAAAACAGAATGGGTTGATGGACTACAACCCTAAAGATTCCCTGTAACAAGAGGAAGAAAGCAGCAACGTTTTCCTGAGCTTTGAGCTGGAGGTTTGGGTAGAGCAATAAAAGGTAACCAGAGCATGCAGGCCTGTGGCTGGTGGAGTCTGTATCTTGCACCAAGGAGACTGGACTGAGCCTGTGTGGAGAGTGAAGAACCATGACTGAGCCATTGAAGGGTCCCTTGACTATGCAGAACTGGAGCACAGCAGAGACTGAGCACTTATGGACTAACCAGTGAACTAGTAGCCTTATCAATTGCATGCAGACTTTGCTTGGACTGTACTTATGTGCACCACATGACAGACTGGGCCCCAACAATATCTGGCTGAAGAATTAGGGCAAAAGACAGTTTTCTCAGATACTTGTTCTAAAAAAAAATTACTGGTTGTAACAGGTACCTCTGTAGAAAGATCTGGGTCTTAGCATAATGCATACAGAGTGCACACTAAGCAGCATAATCTACTGCTCATAGGAAGGTTATTGCAGTATTGACCACCATTGCCGTTACTGTTACTTATCTATGCCATTGTTTATTACTGATGTACACATTATCAGATATAGAACAAATCAACCATGTAGGACCCAATCTAAACTGCTATAACCTAGTGATCATATTGTAGCACTACCCCCTTAGGAGTTGCTGAGGTTTTGAGTCCCCCTTTAGTCCTGCACAGTCAGGCAACACGTATCTCCACATAGACTTGCATCCAGGCATCAGAAATTAGTCCTTGAGCTTTGTTTTTGTGATTTTATCAGGGGATTTAAAACTTGGAGAGGGTTAGCAGTATACGGGATACCCAACAGAACTGTAACTGAGGACAATGTTCCTGAACTATGTACAAGTCTTCACACAAAAATCCTATTCGTGGAGAGCTAGTCAGCCTCTCCTGTTGTACCACCCCAAACCCCAGATACTCCTCTATCTGGCTGCCTGAAGAAATCCCTGAGCAGGGGATCCAGTACCTGTCACTTTAAAAGAAGCGGTCCTTCTTCATCTTGCCCAGGGGGTGCAGGTCTACTCACTCAGTCCTTCTGTGTTGCTGCTGGGTCAGTGGTTGTTACCAGGCCTTTTAGCTGGGCTGCTCCTTCCCTGCCTCGCAGGTAGTCCTCTCTCAGGGGGCCAAGAAAGTCCAGAGCTTTCCTCCTTCCAGGGTCCTCTGCCTGTAGGTGAGCCCCTTTTCATCTGGGCTCCCTCCCAGGTTCCTGCCTCCATCCTCACATCCTCAACTCTCCTCCAGCTGCTCTCCAACTCCCTGCTACTGAGCAGGCTTGGTTAATCCTAAAGGCTATCCCGGCCCCCTACCAAGCCTCCTTTTGGGGATTGGCCAGGATCCTCTAAGAACACAGACCAGCCACTCCTCAGATCTGCCCACTGCCTCTAGATCTTTCTCCAAAGTTCTAGAGCAGGGGAAAATTTCAAATTTTGGCCTCATAGACTTCTATGTTATCTCACAGACGTCTATCAGTATAGATAAGAATGACACTTTGAAGGATCAGGTTTTTTTTTTAACCCTCACCTCTCCTCCCTGGTCATCCTTGCTGCCTAAATACTTCCTCCCTAGCACCTCCCATTCACAGATGAGCATATTGGAAACAATTCCCGTTCACATTTTTTTTGTGCTTTTTTTCCACCTAAATATGCATCATGCATAGGGAATAGGCCTACATAGAACAGATGCCCCAAAGTAGCTCAAAAACATTTTCGCTGTTGGAGCGTTGCACATTTTGGCATGTTTGTAGCTCATTTTGGCACGCAGCAAAACACACGTCTGCTATGATTTGGGTGTCATTAACAACTAGCCTGCTTACAGGGGCGGACTGACCATTCGGAAACTCGGGCTCTGCCCAAGGGCCCGGGGTCAGTAAGGGGCCCCGTGAGATGCCCCTGGTACCTTTCGTAGGCTTTTTTGTATGTGGTTTGAGTGTGGTCGAGGACACAGGGGCCCCATGATCCCCTATTGCCCGGGGGCCCCATGAGTTGTCAGTCCGCCCCTGAGACTGCATTTACATCTGCGCATTTCCAAACCGGCAGCAACCGGCACAGAAAGCATGCACCTTGCCACGTTTTAGAAATGCACGACAAGCACGCATTACTTTGCCATTTATGCTGCGTTCACATCTGTGTGTTTCCAAACACGTGGAAACCCACACAGAAAACACGCAACACAGGTTAAGAAATGCGCAGATATGAACGCAACCTAAATAGCAACACAATGTGTCATTGCGCATTTTCAGAACACACACATTTTCATCTGTGCGTTTCCTGAAAGTGCAGCAATTCACAAACAAAACACGCGCTGTGCTGTGCATTTCAAAAACGCACGGAAATGCACGCCGCGCTTGTGTTGCCATTTAGGCTGCGTTTCCAAGTGCACAGAAACTATCAAGGAAAATGCGCACTTAGCTGTGTGTTTTGAAAACACGCAGAAATGGGCCTTGAGCTTGTGTTACTCATCTGCATGTTTCCAAACACGTGACAACCTGCACAGAAAACGCGCGTTTTGCTGTGCATTTCCAAAATGTGGGTTGTGCTTGCGTTACCACTCATTTGCATCTGCACCTTTCTGAATTAATGTCAACCCGCAAGAAGTTGCACACTTTGCCTTTGCGTTACCATTCGTTTGCGCCTGCGCGTTTCCGAATATACGGCAACCTGCGTTAAAACACACATTTTGGTGTGCATTTAGAAAACACACAGCAATGAGCGTGACGCTTGCATTACCGCTTAGGCTGCGTTCTCATGTGCGCGTTTCCAGGGAGAAGACGTGGTACAGCAAAGTGGTGCGACTTTCATGTCGCACAAGTGTGAACCACGGCTTATCTGCTTAGGTGGTGAAGGTGGACAGACCCTTCATAACGGAAACATTTTGAAGAATTGGTACACTGCAATGTATTATGTTTTAGTATTTGGGATTTTATATTTCCTTCATCTATTTCATGTGGGAGTTGATATTTTCACACAGAGCTGGGAGGGGAATAATGACAGCAACCCGGAAGTACAGGCCAGACCACTACGACAAAGGCTATTACTACGTCTATCAAGACTGAGAAGGCGTGGTTGCGGCAGGGTCATGTGACTTGGCACAGACGCTCAAGAGTGCGTACACAATTTTTTGGCACTTGCGCAGTACAGACAGGTTTATGCGGGCACGCGGACAGGAGGCACGGGAGTGTGCACGCTAGGAGAGAACCCAGAGCTCCTCCAGAAGCCCCACCGCAATTACCGCCCTCGCTAAATTCCGCCCA